CACAGGGGTTTATGAACCATCTACTTCATCCTATTGCTCAAAATGAGGTTCTGGGTAGTCAAGAAGGATGGAAAATCTCTGCACCTCATCCATGACTTACAACCTCTAAATGCTGTTTCCATTCAGGACTCAGCTGTTCCCCCATTTGTCAACTTGATCACTGAAGCCTTCACCTGCCATTCAGTCTATGGAATTTTGGATCTTATGGTCAGATATGATCATCATACTATCCACAATGATTACTATGACCTCACTACCTTCCAAACCCCTATTGGTACCCTTCAACTCACCAAACTTCCTATGGGCTACACAGATGCTGTCCAGATTTTCCATGGAGACATCTGTTGGATTTTGAAGGACAAAATTCTGGAAGTCACCATCCCATTTATCAACAACTGTCCTATCAAAGACCCCAAATCCTGTTACCAAAACTATGATGGTTCCTATGAGATGATCCCACAGAATTCTGGGATTAGTCACTTCATCTGGGAACATCTGTAGAACATCAACCAAGTCTTACACCATCTGCACCATGTGGGAGCCACTGTATCAGCAAAGGAATGTGTCATCACTGTGCTGTCTATCATAGTGGTTGGGCACAAAATGTCATTTGAGGGCAGAATTCTGGATGAAGCTAAAGTCCAAAAGATTAAAGATTGGTCTTTCTGCACAAATGTTACTGAAGTGCATGGATGTTTAGGTCTCTGCTCATACTGCAGGATCTTCATCAAAGATTTTGCCAAACATGCACATCCCCTTGTCAAGCTGACCAAGAAAGACATTCCCTTTGAATTCTGTGATGAACACAGGGAAGCAATGGAGTACCTCTGCCAGGCAATCATCTCATCCCCTGCATTGTGAACTATCAACTACAATTCCAAAAGGAAAGTCATCTGAGCAGTCAACACTTCTAACATTGCTGTTGGGTACCTCCTCATGCAAGAGGAGGAAGACAGAAAATGCTATCCCACTAGGTTTGGCTTGATAACTCTCAATGATTGTGAATGCTGCTACAGCCAAGCCAAGCTTGAGCTGTTTGGACTTTTCCATGCCTTGCATGACATCTGGCCTCATATTTTTGGCATGCAGAATTTAGTTGTCAAAGTGGATGCACAGTACATCAAAGGGATGATTAACAATCCTGACTTACAGCCCAATGCAACCATAAACTGTTGGATCACTAGAATTCTTCTAATCACCTTCCAGCTCATACATGTTCCAGCACACAAGCATACAGCACCAGACAGACTTTTGAGGAGGCCAAGAGCAGAAGAAGATGAGGAGGGAGAAGAGGACTACAAAGATTGGATAGATGAGTGTGGGGCTTTCATTGTTGAGCTCTTGAATCAAAGGGAAGTGCATTTCAAGTCTCAGCCTTACCTTTCAGAAATTCCAAGTGCCATGTCAGACTCATCTCATGCCCTGCCACAGAGCCCAGGTACCTTTACCATCAAGGAATCAATGTCAGGAGACCTAGAGACTGAAATTCCAAGGTCAGAGAAAGCAAAGCAGAAATAAGAGAAGTTGAGAGTGGTGAAGGAGTTCTTAGAAATGAAGAAAATGCCAGAGGGATTGGAAGATGGGGAGGGGAGAGCCTAGTGCATCTTGTGACTCAGTATTTCATGAAAGGAGGGGAACTGTGGAGGAAGGAGCTCCAGGGATGGCATCAGCTAGTGGTACCCCACACAAATGCATTGAAGCTCTCCACCAAGCTCACAATGAGCTGGGGCACAAGGGTATCTTCTCAGCCCACATGCATTTGCTGACTTGCTTTTGGTGGCCCATGCTAGAACAGGATGTCTGCTGGTATGTCAAATTGTGCCACAAGTGCCAAATACACTGTCTGGATTGCATACATATTCTGCCAGTAGTTGCCATCTCCAAATCCCTATTTTACAAGGCCTACATGGACACATTCTTAATGCCAAAGTCAAACAGCTTTCACTATGTCACCCAAGCTTGCTGTTCACTCACCAGTTATCCCAAATGGGCTATGCTTCATGCAGAGACAGACAAGTCCATTGGAAAATTCATTTTTGAACAGATTCTGTGCTGTTGGGGTGCCATTGCAGAGATTGTCACAGATAATGGGGGACCATACATCCTCACCCTTGACTGGCTCTCTAAGACCTTTGGAATTTGCCACATATGCATCTCCCCTTATAACTTGGTGGCATTTTGATGCAAGAGAGGCGCTGGTAAAGAGTTGTGGTGGGGAGGCATTGAAGTGGTTGGAACTCACCCCTGCAGTATTTTGGGCAGAGAGGGTTATGGTCCATAAGGCAACTGGGTTTTCTCCATTCTATATGGCTCACAGTGTCAAACCCAGACTCCCTTTTGATCTGGTTGAAGCAATGTTCTTGGCCCTTTTCAAGGTGGAATTTTACCCAACCACTGATCTCATTGCTCATTGTGCTCACCAGCTCCAGAAACATCCTGAAGACCTCACTCACATCCACAATCTAGTCCTGAAATCATGCTTTGCATCAGCTAAAGATTTCATTGCTCATTTCACACATACCATCAAAGACTTTGACTCTGAACTAGGGTCACTTGTCCTTGTTCAGAATTCCTGCATCAAACTAGAACTTGACTGGAAAACCAAACTGCATGACCTGGGACCAATGATCATCATCCAACACACCAAAAGTGGCTTGTACATACTTGCAGAATTAGATGGCACTGTCTCAAAATTCTGCTTTGCTGCCTTTTGTCTATACCCCTATTTCCCATGGAATAGCACTCATATTGAAGTCACCCAGCTGACTGGTGCTTCTGCACAAGACCTGGATTGCCTTGAAGACAATTCATTCCCAGACCCTATGCTTTCTGGCATCCCTTTGGATGAGTCAGATGAGTAGCCTGTCCTTCTCCTTCCTTTTTTTCTTTTCTTTCTCCATTTGTTCTTTTATTGATACCCATTTCATCTCATATAGAAACCTCACCACTCACAAGAAACAGTCAAAAAAAAATTCTGCAATGCTCTTTCATTCAAAGATCTTGTTTTTCCTTTACTCACTGTAATACTAATACCAACACACACAAAAGCTCTAACATTTTGGAACATACAAGTACAAATACAAAAATTACACAGACATGAGGATGGTATTTACAGGTCCCAGAGCTTGTCCTTCAGCTTTTGGAGTTCCTCTCACCTCTCCTGTGCACCCACAATCTGTCATTCCAAGTGCCTCTCCAGCAGCCCCAGAATCCTCTGCACCTGGCCTAGCTCAAATGCTTTGTCCTCAACTCTGGCCTCTAGCACTTGTAGATGCTCAACAAAGTTCACCATTGATTGTTTGTGTGGGACTATGGCCTGCAGAATTCCTGTGGTTACTGGAGTATTGTTATGAGTCAAAGTGTGGAAAGCTGGTGTAAACCAACCAAAGACAACACCAAAGACAAAGAAAAGTGAGAGGTGGTTTGCCTCTGCAGTACCTGAAGGGCAGAAAAATCTAAAGTGTGGGGGTGTTTCAATGGCAGGTGCTCCTAGTGCAAGTTGACAATGAGTTATGCAGGAGAGGACAAAAGAGTGATGACCAAGAGGGGGATACAGGCTAGAGTAATAAACTTTGATGACAGAGTGCTCCTAGTGCAAGTTGATGACAAGTTATGCAGGAGTAGGTGAATGAATGAAGTCTTGATGGGGATGCTGAATAGAGTGAAGGTATTCAGCCAAAAGGACTCCTGGCACAAGTCAATGTTGAGTTATGCAGGAGCAGAGGGATGATTAATCAAATGTGCTGACTAAGCACAGATGACAATGCAGACACTGGATGATGGTAGATAGGCCCTTCTGAATGAGCCTCAACTACCAAGAATATGAATGATGACATATAGACTCTTCCAAATGAGCCTCAACTGTTGATGACAAGTTATGCCTGAGATGAACTGAACTTGCAGCTGTTGCAATGTGGGGAGAATGATGGATGAGATTGGAATAAAGACAGTGCAGGGAGCATGGAGGAAGGATCCATATGCTTCATCAAGTGGGGAGACCAAAACCACCACATAAGACCTTTGTAGCTGAGTGACAGACCTGAGGCAACCAAAGAATGTCCTTCTGGAAGTCATACTGACAAGGAGAACATGCTGACCAAGCTGCATGGGATGGGATGGGGCTGATGATGATGGAATGAACCAGGGGGCTTCAGGACAGAAGCTGGTGGGAACACCTGGCAGATATACATAGCCACTGTCTCTTGGCAAAGGAGACAAGCAAGATGATTGATGAAGAGGCAGCCATGATTGATGGACTTATTGAAATGAGCATCTGATGGATGGAGTGCTGTAGAAATACATAGGGTACAAGGATCCTTTCCAAAGCCAGAAGGCAGAATCACATGGCTGAGCACTTTAAGTGAGTGTGAGAACAGAGTCAATATCTTTGGGAATGGTGGAGATACAATGAAAATTGGAATGCCATACATGAGTGCTAAAAACTTTTGATGGGCACTTGACTTGCTTCCTCTTTTCTCTTAAGCACTGACAACTCATTCTTGTGCAAAGGATGACTGCTCATGTCTAGCAGTCTTTCTACACATGAGGGCATTAGTCTTCATCTGCATGGCATGGCATGCAACTCATCAATGAGTTAGGCAGAGTCAGCTGCAACCATGTCCACAACACCTTTGGTGTGTGACATCATCCTGTCCCCACATTTCATTGTCTGTGCACTCACCTAGCAAGCCAGTTGGCACTGCAGAAAATCCACCTTTGACAATGTCTTGAGGCTTGTCATCAGGTGCTGGTGGGAGCTTGACTGAGAGACAAGGTGCCAGAGTGGAGTCTGGGAAGAAGAGAGGGGGAGATACTGAGGGGTCACACAGGAGAAGTGCTGAGGAGGGGATGAGCAGGGAAGGTGTTGGATTTGGAGGTGGCATAGGCATGGGCATAGGATCTGGTTGGTGGGGAGGAATGACCTTCCAAGGTGGGATTTTCAGTGTGAGTTTCTGAGGGGGTTCTGCTGCAGGTCCCTTTGGGGTCATGGTGAATTTGACTCATTTGTGTGATGGTCCAGTGACTCCAACTGTGCCAGAGTTCTTTTGCTGTAGGTGGTGTCACCTTGTTCCCCTGTGGAATTAATCTGGACTGGACTCACCTTTCTCCCTACTCTGAGAGCATGCATACACTTGTGTTTCATGTTCCTACACCATTTGCAGGACAATCCCAGCTCCCCAATGCATATGAGGTTTGACTGGGCACAGGCCTCACAGGACTTGTCCTCCCCAGTCATCTGTGGCCCCTTCATCGATGGCCCTGGCTCCTTCCTATTGCCCTTGTCCTTATCCTTGTCCTCATTGTCCAGCTCATCCTCTTTGCTGGGAGCCTGCAGAGTTTTTGGTGGAGGTCAGTACCCTTGCTTGGGGTTTTCAGGGATGGGGCACATACCCTCTCTTTTCCTTTGCCCTTGCTTTCACTTCCCAAGCCTCCCCCTGTCAAGTGTACAGCTCCTCCTGTTGATCCTCCTGCTTCCACATCACCTGGCCTGTGGTCTTGACCATTTCCTCTTGCTGCTTGAGCTCGTGTTCACACCATCAGGTCCTTGGCTAGCCTCTCCACCTCATTCCATGCCCTCTCTTTGACCCTCTCCTGGTAACCCTCAAAGAGGTCATTGACATCAAATCATCTTTGGCCCTCAGATCAGTGAAGATCAGCAATTGCAATTGCTCCTGTGTCCAGGAGGTTGTCCTTGCATGCTGACTGCTCAGTCAGCCCCTGGAGTGCATGACCATTGATGTCAGGTATGGCAATCTTGTGCTCATCCATGTATTGCCACCACAAGTAGATGTTGGCCTGCAGAGTTTCCTCAGTGCTATTGAAACCCACAAGATGACTCCATACTCACCCAGGTCACATCCCACTCATCTACCCACTTGTGGATGGCTGCCAGTCTCTCCTCTGGCTGAGGCACTTCTTGCATCATTCTCCCTGTGCATTTCAATGCCCTGTCAGTGCCACTATAGCCTGGGCCTCCACACTGAATACAAGTTGTGCATCATGGATCAAGTAGGCTTGCATGTCACTGAATGGGTGTGGGCATGGGTGACTGGATGCAGCTGTTGTTGGGAAGTGAAGGTTAGACAAGTGGTGAGCCACCTTCTGAGTGAGTTTAAATTCCACAGGGCTGTTTCACACAACGCAGAATTTCCCTCTGCATGAGGCAGATTTCTGAACATGGGCCATCATTGTTACATAATGCCTGCCAAAATTCCACATTCATTTCTGTTGAATCTCAGGCCAGTCTGACTAAGGATGGTGTCAAGTTCAGGTTGTCTGGGTTGAGGCCAGACCAGAGACCAAAGAGGGCACAAGGCCAAGGGGTTGGGATCAGGAGGAGGGTTGAAGATACAGGGGGGTGGACTGATTGGACTTAGCAACTGAGATTACAGCACTATTCCCTTGCATGGGTCTCAGTCTGAGTCTGAGGCTGAGGTGGAATTATTGGAGTAACTTTGTTGATTTCAGACTGAAGAGTACAGGCTGGGTATCTATGAGTTTATATACCAGAGACAACTATAGTACAGAGACCGGTAATGCTGGTCTTGCAAAGATTGCTAAGACAATTGGTAAGACAAGCATTAGTAATGTACAACAAAGATGATGGAGACCAGGACAGAGTGGACTGGGGACAAGCCCAGTGTCACACACCAAAGGTGTTTGGTGAGGTGGACATGGATGTAACTGATGAATGGAGGTGAAGACCATAGCCCTCATGCGAAGAAGGACAGCCAGCAATGTTGGCAGTCATCCCTCACACAAGAACAGGTTGTCAATAGCAAAGAAAAAGGAGGAGGCAAGTTAAGCACCAATAAAATTCTTAAGTGCCCATGTATGGCATTCTGGTTTTCGACATATCTCCACCAATTCTGCAGACACCGAAACCATTCCCACACTCGCTTGTAGTGCTCAGCCATGCAATCCTACCTTCCAGGATTGGAAAGGATTTGTGCACTCCACACGTTTCTACAGCACTCCCTCCAAAAGACACTCATTTCGCTAATTCTTCTGATATGGCTGCCTCTACATCAGTTGTTTCGCTTGTCCCCTTTGCTAGGGACCATGGCTACATATATCTACCAGGAGTTCCTACCAGCTTCCATCCTGAAGTGTCCTGGTACATCCCACCCTCATCTGCCCCCTCTCAGCCCATCTAGCTTGGACAGTGTGTTCTTTTTGTCAGTATGACCTCCAGGAGGACGTTCTTTGGTCGCCTCAGGTCTGTCATTCGCTTGGAAAGGTCTTATGTGGTTGTTTCAGTCTCCAGTCCAAGAAGCATATGGATCCTTCCTCCCTGCCACCTGCAACATCTTCATACCAGTCTCATCCGTCATTCTTCCAAAATTGCAACAGCTACAGTATAATCTACTGTTCTCCACTCTCCCTGATTGCATCCATGATGAGTATGATGCACATCTTGCCTCCTTGTTGCAAGATACAGCAGAAGATGCTCCCCCTTCATCCTCTCTTCCAACAGAGCCTCGTTCATGAAGTTTTTATTTGCTTCACTGAGAGGATGGTTTGGGGGGGAAGGTTGCAATCCCCTATGCTCCTGTCACCCCACAGACCCCCAAAGCTTGACCCCTGTTGACATCTGACTCACCCTGTCCGCTTTTGGATGTACTATATTGGCATCAGATCAGTGCTGCCTCTCTGTCATCCCACTTTGGCCTAGATGTGATCTCTTCAAGATGTGACATGCACAGCCTCCCCCTAATGTGATTCCAGTGTGCTTTCTTGGTTCCTGACATTGCTTGACTCATACTGTGACATTCGGACCGTCTTTGACTCACCTATTGCAAATACTTACCAATCTTTTGACTTTGCTTACTGATTCTTCGCTTTTTGGCTTACTTATCCTTACCAATGCTTACCAATGCTTTCCAAGATGATTACCCATCACTTACATTCCTTACTCATCAGTTACCAATCACTTACCAAGTGTTTGCACGTTGTTTTCCATAGGCAATGCCCCTGTACTGTATATAAGTCACTGTACTTAGGTAGCAAAAAAAGAAGACATCAGAGAGCCCCTCTTGCTTGCAATTTATCATCTCTCAGTAAATCATTCATCAGCTTTGATAGTTGAGACTTTATTAAGGGTCTAGCTATCATCTACTTTGCTTATCATCATCTATCATCCATATACTTTGCTCCAAGCCCTCCCTGAGCTCAGTACAGCTTAGGACATTGAATTAAGTCACCATCCATCCTTCTGTAGGCTGACAGCAGTCTACCCTATCACTTTCTATCACATTCTTGCTCCCTCTTCGTCAGGAGCACCCCCAACCCTCAGCACTCATCTTTGAGTGTTGTAGCTCACAAAAACCCTCCCAAAGAACAGGTTCTACCATCTAGGTACCACATAGGCACACCACCACTCGCTTTCATTGTCTTTTGTGTTGGTTTTGGTTGGTTTTCACCACTGAACCTCACTTTGACTCACACCAGGGATCAGACATGTTGGACAGGTGGATTTGTGAGACTGGGTCATCTGGCAGTGTGGTCAGGATATCATTGTGTAGTTTCTCTACATCCATTAGTGCAACTGTTTGTAAGACCAGGTACTTGAGATAGGTTGCACGGAGGGAGACCACTAGTTGCTCCTGGGTGAAGACCAGTCTCAAGTTTTGCAGGTTCACTTGGGCATAGCCACTATCCCCCTCTTTGGGGTAGACATCCCAATGTCTAGTTAGGGCATCAGGCTTAGCCATGAGCTTACCAGGTCTGAATCTAGTGACCATATTGAACTGAGAGAGGAATTCTGACCAGTGAGCTTGGCAGCAGTTGAGTACTTTGGAGGTAGAGAAGTACTCAAGATTCTTATGGTCAGTGACAATGTCAACTGGTGAGGCCAAGCCCTCAAGGTAATGGTGCCAGGTCTGGAATGCTTCGAAGATTGCAAGCAATTCCTTGTCATGGGTATCATAGTTCAACTCTGGGGCAGTCAGAGTCCAGGAGTAGAAGGCAACTGGATGAATCTGGCCATCACCGCAGGTGATAGATAGAATGCCAGCGATGGCATAGTCCAAAGCATCAGTCTCAACAGTGATGGGGACCCTGGGGATGAAATGAGTTAAGACCAGTGTGGTAGTAAAGGTGGCCTTGAGGTTGTTGAATGACCAACAGCACTCCTCAGAGAAGCTCCAAGGAGCACCCTTGCAGGTAAGCCAAGTCAGTGGTATGACAATGTCTGAGTAGTTGAATACAAAATGGCAGTAAAAGTTGGTGAAGCCAAGGAAAGATTGTATGTCCTTGACCTTGTGAGGCTCAGGCCAATTGCAGATAGTCTGGACTTTTTCCTTGAACATAGTAAGGCTGGCAGGGGAGAGGTGGAAACCAAGGTACTTGACCAAGTCCGAGTGGAACTTGCATTTCTCTGGCTTTGCATAGAGGCTGTGAAGCCGAAGCCAGCAGAGAACTTCTTGGACATGCTGCTTGTGGGACTCCTTATCTCTGGAGTAGATCAGAATGTCATCAAGGTAGATGACTATGCAAACATCCAACATGTCTGCAAAAATGGTATTCACGAAGCATTGGAAGGCAGCCAGGGCATTGGTGAGGCCAAAAGGCATTACTAACCACTTGTAGGAACTGTACCGAGTCCAGAATGCAGTCTTCCATTCATCACCCAGGGCAATCCAGATGAGATGGTAGGCATGCTGAAGATCAATCTTTGTATAGATCTTGGCTTGGCTTGGTGAATCTAAAAGGTCAGAGATGAGTGGGAGTGGGTAGTGGTCCTTCTTAGTGATTTTGTTGAGGCCATGGAAGTCTACACAGAGCCAGAGGGAGCCATCCTTCGTTTTGACAAAGAGGACTGGTGCAGCATAAGGGGAAGAGGTCAGATGAATGAAACCAGTGGTGAGGTTTTCATCAATGAAAGTCCAGAGAGCTTGGAGCTCGACCTGGGACAGCAAGTAGATGGTGCCTAATGGCGGTGTTGTTCCTTCTTTGAGCTCTATTTTCAGGTCATAATCCCGGTGGGGCGGGAATGTCTAGGCCTTGGCCTCGCTGAACACATCAGTGAAGTCATGGTACTCCTCTGGGACATTGGGTAAGTCCAGAGGGGATGAGGCTGAGGCCGATCGAGCTCAAACTAAGTCCAAGGGGTGGAGCTGGAGTTGGAACTGGACAGACCCTTCTAGTTTGCAGGCATGCACAAAGGCAGCTGCATTGATTAGGGAAACAAGAGGGGCCTTCAGGGGGGTGTGAGCTGGGGAGTCAGAGACTGGTACAGATGGCACAAGGCTGGGTTGGTCACTAGGACCAGAGTCAGGAAGGCCAGTGGAAAGCGGACTTACAGGGGGTGTTGATGGGGTTGGCATTCCTTGTGCAGGAGTCCAGAATGTTAGACTGCTCAGTACCCAATCAATCAATGGATTGTAGTAGGTGAGCCAGTCATGTCTGAGGACTATCTTACACTCAGAATCCAATGGGGCTAGAAGCAGGGTTACCAGGGTGACATCGCCAGACATGAAGCAGATATTGACCTCTACTGCTTGGGTTATAGTAAAGGTGGACATTCCATTGAAGAGCTGGAGCTGGATTGGTGAGACCAAGTATGGGGTAAAAGAGTGTTGATTAGCAAATTGATTATCTATAAAACAATGAGTGGAGCCAGAGTCCACTAGAGTATGAAGCTGAGGTAAATCATGATTTTCTAATGTGACATAGGGGGTTAACAAGTTTGGACTGGAAAGAGTGGACACATTGAGTCTAGCCTCCAAGTTTGCACAACTGGAGTCAATGCAGCTCCTGGATTGTGCAGAGTCCCAGGAGCTGCTACCTATTTTTTGTCTTGGGGGTAGAACCCAAGCCCAAGGCCAGTGTGGTCTTGGTGGCAGCTGCAGTGCAACCCTTGGCCTTTCTGGCTTTCTTTGGGCATTTGTCAGTGAAATGACCAGGGCCTCTGCAGAACAT